GCTCTACAACTTGAGCTACAGTGCCACTTCCAGCTTTTATTCTTTTTGCTTATGTGGTGCTGAGGAATCGAACCCAGGGCCTCAGGCATGCAAGGCAAGCGCTCTACCACTGAGCCACCTTCCCAGCCCTTTCTGTGTCCTTTTAACATACCCTCATCATTCTTACAAGTTTCTGGAGTAAAATGTTTCAGATCATGTTGTTTTTCCTCTACTATAACTCTGGACTCATCTATTTCTCAAAGAAAGCCTGGTTCCTTTTAGTAAAGGGAGTATTAGAAACTGAGACCTTGGTGCTAGTTGTGTTCATTTTATTGAAGTGTTACTGATCCTCAAGCTCTCTATAGATGAAACTAAGGAATGTGGACCAGTGTCTGCATACACATTTACAATCTATATTTCCTTCATCTGTTTTGAAAATCATGAGTTCACATCAACATCTCCAATTACAATCCAACACAACAAAGTTTTACAGCTTGGTTTTCTTCCTTTTTATATTAAAACCCCTCCTAGGATAGTAAGAAGCCTGGCTTCCATTATCCCTCATATATTTGATTAGTACCCCTATATATGTAAGCAATATTCCATTACTATTGCTACTTCCCTTACATAAAGACTTTTCACTCCATTCAAATTTTGAATACTAAACTGGAATGACAGATTAGCAAAGCCCTTGAACAAGGATAAAAAGTAAATCTGCAAAGCATCCTGTAATATTTTTATCTGAACATGAAAAATGGATTGAGGTATGAATCCATGGGAAAGAGGGAAGAGAAAAAGAGGGTGGTGATGAGGAATATGGTGTAAGTACATTGCATGTGTATATATATATATATATATATATATATATGTATGTATCTCCATATATATATGGGTACAAGTGACTCAATGCCCATAATCCTTGTTACTGAGGAGGCTAAGATCAGAGAATGTGATTTGGAGCTACTTGAGGCAAAAAGTCCACAAGACTCCATCTCCAAAATAACCAGTGAGAAGCCAGGCTACAGGCATGGCAAAAATGGCAGGGTGCCTGCCCAGTGAGTGCAAGGTAGGCCAAACTTTAGTACTACCACAAAATAAAAGTAGGATCCTTTACCAAATAGGGTTTTAAAATCATGTATTATAGTACATACCTATAATCAAGTCACAAGGACCATAAGTTTGAAGCTAACCTAAGCTATATAGCAAGACTCTGTTTTCAAAAAGAAAAAAATTTTGGCTGACCCTGAAACTTGAATTTAGGGCCTTGTACTTGTTTGGATGGAGCTGGAAATCTGCAGACTGGCTTTGAACCTTGATCCTTCAGATCTTAGCCTCCTGGGTAGGTTGGATTACAGATGTGAACCACTGGCTCTGGTTGTAGTGGCAAAAATCTAATTTAAACCAGCCTGAAAAATATTAGTCTAAATATCTTAAAAGAAAATAGAATAGAAAGGCTAGAGTGAGGGATTCAAAAGAAAGCATTTGGGCCTTCTCTCTGCCTCTCACTTTGTCTGCCTCTGCTTTGTCTGGTTGTAGGCTTTCATCCATCTGGCAACCAGGCATACTCCCATGCCAATTCTAGACTTACCTCATCTTCAAACTCAGTGATGCTAGGGGAAAACATTTCAATAAGTTCCAACAATAGTTACAATATTAGTCTGGCTTGAAACACATCTCTTCCTGGGGGCTATTTGGCATGATTTGCACCTCCAGATTAAGAGGCATCAAAGAGTGTTTTCCTAAGGAAAAATCAAGATGCTATTATTTGAAAAGAGAGGATGAATGGGAGAGGAACAAAAACATCTGTATATTTGAGGGGATAGAAGAAAATCCTTAATTGACAATTTCACACTGATCTACATCATCAAGTAGATTAATAAAACCATCTATAGCTTTTCCTATTCAGTGTATCCATGCTCCTTTGAACTAAACTTCTGAGAGAGGGAAATTGAGTTTCTTATATCTCTGATACAATCCTTTGACTATATACAACAACCAAATTAATTTTCTGAATGCATGGTTCTAGTTATAAATCAATCTTAACAAAGGAACCATATCCCCTACCAAAGTTGGAAATATTTAGATAATGCCTCACCCCAACTTATCTTTCTTTCCATACTTTTGCTGCCATCTTTCTGTGCCCCACCCCCCATAAGTCAATACATTTCAAGATTTGTCACTGATCTACTTAATAGCATTAGGACGTAACATATCTTATATGCTAGAGATTATCATTGGTTTTCTAGTTATTTTTCTTTTTGATTATAAAGATACAACATGATTTATGAATGTTAAGTCCGACTTAAAATACATTTTTCTATCTAAAAGTCAACATTCTTACTAAGTTTATTCTTCTAAATTAAAGAGGTAAGCTGGACCTTGGTGACTCATGCCTGTAATCCTATTCAGGAAGCTGAGAACTGAGGATCGTGGTTCAAAGCTAGCCTGGTGAAGAAAAGTCCATGAGATTCTTATCTCAAAAAAAAAAAAAAAAGAAAGAAAGAAAAAAGTCAGAAGTGGTACTGTGACTCTAATGGTAGAGCACTAGATTTGAGCAAAAGAAAGGGACAGTGCCCAGACCCAGAGCTTAAGCCCCAGGACCCCAAAAGAACAAACAAACAAAAAGAGTGGTAACTCTTCATGACAAAGGGTCATTAGAGATATGTTTGTTTTTTCTTTTGTCTGTCACGGGGCTTGCTTGGAAGCTTTCCCTGTCATGGGCTTGAACTCAGAGCCTGGGTGCTGTCCCTGAGCTTCTGCACAAGGCTAATGCTCTACTACTTTGGGCCACAGCACCACTTCCAGTTTTCTGGTGATTAATTGGAGGTAAGGGTCTCAAGGACTTTCCTGCTCAGGCTGGCTTCAACCTGTGATCCTCAGATCTCAGCCTCCTGAGGAGCTAAGATTATAGGTGTGGGCCACTGACACCCAGCATAAGAAGTGTTTTCTTGGGCTGGGAAGGTGGCTCAGTGGTAGAGTGCTTGCCTTACATGCCTGAGGCCCTGGGTTTGATTCCTCAGCACCACATAAGCAAAAAGAAAAAAGCTGAAAGTGGTGCTGTGGCTCAAGTGGTACAGTGCTAGCCTTGAGCTGAAGAGCTGAGGGACAGCGCCCAGGCCTAGAGTTCAGGCCCCACAACCGGACCCAAAAAAAAAAAAATAAAAAAAAAAAGAAGTGTTTTCTTGCCGGACACCAGTGGCTCAAGCCTGTAATCCTATCTACTCAGGAGGCTGAGGTCTGAGGATCTCTAGACTCTTATCTCCAATAAACCACCAGAAAACTGGTAGTAGCGCTATAGCTCAAGTGGTAGAGCACTAGCCTGGAGCTGAAGAACTGAGGGACAGTTCTCAGGCCCAGAGTTCAAGCCCCACGACCGACCAAAAAAAAAAGTGTTTTCTTAATGGATAGAACTTTAGAGAACTTTCTCTTAATATTCATCCTTTACTGTGGAATAAGTTTAAAGAGTATAATTCCCAATGGGTGCAAAAATTCTTTTATTCACATATACAAATGGAATTTGTAATAAGCTGCATTGTCTTTTCTAGAGTACATAAAATAAAATATGACATCTTCACAACTCTGGAGGCTGACATCTGAGAATCAGTTTAGGTAGTCAAGTCTGAGAGATTCTTATCTCCAATTATCAGCAAAATGCTCAAAGTGCTGTTGTGGCTCAAGTTGTAAAGTACTATCCCTGAGTGAAAAAGCCAAACAAGAATGGAAGTCTCTGAGCATAAGCCTCAGTACTAGCACAAACGCACATATAACACATGACAAATTCAGAAATAGCAACCTATATTTTAATCTAGTTTCATTGACATTAATACTTATCTTTTTATTCTTAGCTAATAGATTTAAGATAGCCAGTTACTAATTTGCCAAGAATCACAAACTAAACAGAGAGGAATTGTGTCATAAATGAGTACAATAACTTTAGTACTGATAGTATTCTGGTACTGAACCATGACCCACCTCAGCCCCCAAATTACTTTTAAAATAAAAACATGAGTTAAATGGACAAACGTATCAATATTTTTATTTTCATATAAGTTCAGTATTGTGTGGCCTAAAATGTTCTTTAAACAGATACACAATCCACATTTTACATCCTAATACAAACTTCAGAACATAAGGTAAGACTTTTTAAATCACTTATTTTTATTTGAAATATAATATTTATTAAAAAAAAACCAAAACAACTATTATAAGAGCAAAATTACAAACCAGGCATGGTGGCACTCAGTGTAGTTCTTTCTAGTTCTGAGGAGGCTTAGAGGAAAGATCACTTGTATCCAGACCTGTCTGGAGAGAGACTCCATCTCAAAAACAACCACCTCAACAGTTGTACTCACTAGACATTATGTTGAAAGTGAGCTATACAACTTGTAGATGGAAACAGGTGAGAAAAACTGGGAGGGAAGGGGTGACATTGTCCTCCTGCAAAATGTACTCATTACCTGACTTATACAATTGTAACCCCTCTGTACATCACCTCTATAATTACAATTAAAAAAACCCCAAACTCCAAAACAAAAAACTCAAAAGCTGTATCATTAGAAAAGTAGTTTATTTTTGTTAGTTGTAGTAGAGCCAATTTTCCCATGTACCTGCAGATTTAGCACACACTTATGATTTTTGGATACAACTAACAATGTATTATTGACATAGAAATATATACAGAAATACTCAAGATAAAAGGACTGACTTTTGATTTAGGACTGAATAAAAACATGAATTTCTTCCCAAGTACTGTTCATATACTCCTTCATAGTTTTTACAAAGTCAATTCCAGGAGTAACAATGTTCTGTGCTTCCACAAATCTTTCAACTGTGGTAGGTATTAATCCTCTTCTTTCTCAATGTAAGTCTTTGCATTAATCCGTGCCATCTGCCTGGCCAAGTACCTGTCTCTGGCTGACATTAGCGTTTCCTCATTATTCCGCTTGGCAAACTTGCTCACAGCCTTTTGTGTTTCTTGTTCCTTATCCTTTTCTTGCCTTTCCTCTGTTAATCTGTGTTTAGTTCCCAGTGACATCTCAGAACTAGAGATGGGTTTCTCTTGGTTTCTTTCTTCATCCTTTTCCCTGTCTTTCATTTTGCTTGATTTTTGCTGGTCAAGAATTTCATCTTTTGCCCTAACATTTGGGCTATTTTCCTTTCTATCTCGATTTCTTTCTGAAGATTCATTTACTTCTCGTTTTTCCCTATCTCTGTATTTGTCAATTTGTTCATATCTTTCTTTCTTTCCTTTTATGCCATCTTCCTTTTTTTTAGCTTTCTCTTCCTTCTCTCCCTTCTCACTATGTCTCTCATGATCATTTCGTTGTCTATCTCTTTCTTGTTCTCTTGAGCATTTCTCCCTTTGCCATTCTCTGTCACTTTTCTCTCTATGGTCTCTTCTCCTCAGTTTATCTTCATGCTCCTGCCTCTTCCAGTGGGAATCTCTATGGTTGGTATCTCGGTGCCTATAAGAATCCTTTTCTTTTCGGTGGTCTTGGTCACTGCAATGGTTCTCCTGGTCTCTGCATTGCCTGATTGGGTGCTGATCTCCCCTTTTCTCATGCCCTCTTGATTTGGAACTTGTGGTGTGGTGTTTGGCACCAGGCCCTCTTTCTTCACTAGATGAGTGTGAATGAGTTTGATTCCTATGATGCTTGGAGTAATTCTTGGAGGTCTCTGTGACCTTTTCCTTTCTGTAGTTCACTTTATTTTCCTCCATTTCATCCTCCTCACTGCTTTTACTATCAAAATCACTGTCAGCATCTGGGTTTTCCTCATCCTTCACACCAGTTTGGAGAATGCAGTTTTGTTGTGGTATTCTGTTCTCTGAATTTACTTCATCAGAGTAACCCCTGGCTTTCTCTTCTTTTATTTCAGACCTTGAAAAGAATTATATATTGTAGAAATTATTATTGTTATTAATTATAGAAATAAATTATGCAATTTCAATAATTTATTCAATTAACTTATTCATATATTATTTGATCACTCAAATTTAAGAAAAGTGCTTATTTCTATTCACTTTGTAAATCACTATTCTCATAAAATTCAGAATATTTTAAATATTTGTACAGGTGGAAAACATAAAACAGCTTCTATTAGACTGCTAGTCTTAAGAAAGGGTCCGTATAACATGTTCATTGTCACCGGGCACCAGTGGTGCACACCTGTTATCCTAACTACTAAGGAGGCTGAGATCTGAGGATCACAGTTCTAAGCCAGCCCAGGCAGGAAAGTCCGTGAAACTCTTATCTCCAAACCACCAAAAAACTGAAAGTCCCCCTGTGGCTCAAGTGGTAGCCTTGAGATGAACAGCTGAGGGACAGGGCCCAGGCCCAGAGTTTAAGCCTTATGACAGACCAAAAAAAAAAAAAACTTCATTGTCATATAGTCCAACATATGTGACCAGATAGTCCATAAATGGAAAGCAGCTTATTTTCACAAATGAAATCCAGCCTCCATAAACTATCAGATCAAATATCAGAGGCTAATCAGAGTATATAATTACAGTAGCCACATATCTGGCTAATGATTGCCATATGGGAGACCCAGATATAGATATAACCATTTCTGTTAAACATTGCTGCTCTGGAAAACAAAGAATTGGAGGCTCAGTGGTAGAGTGCTTGCCTAGCATGCATGAGGCCCTGGGTTCGATTCCTCAGCACCACATAAGCAGAAAAGGCCAGAAGTGGTGCTGTGGCTCAAGTGGTAGAGTGCTAGTCTTGAACTGAAGAGCTGAAGTGCTCAGGCCCAGAGTTCAGGCCCCACAATGGACAAAAAAACAAACAAACAAACAAAAAAACCCCAAAGAATTGAGTTGCAATTCTTTTATACAATGGCTTAAAGATAACTAATAAGACTAAGAATTGGAAGATTTTAAAATAAAATTATGGGATATTATAGTATTTGCAAGGTGATAATATTTAAGTTATACTTGAAGGTAATAGAGAAAATTTAGGAGCTAGGAATGTAGCTGAGTGACAGAGAACTCAATTAGCATATTCAAGTCCTGACTATGAGCTACATACATCTCAACAGAAGAAGCTGGGCATGATGGTACATGCCTGTCATCTCAGCTATGGTGGGAAGCATACATAGATCTCAGGCCAGCCTGGACAAAAATCAAGACCCTATCTAAAAAATAATCAGGAGCCGGGCACTGGTGGCACATGCCTGTAATCCTAGCTACTCAGGAGACTGATATCTAAAGATTACGGTTTAAAGCCAGCCAGGTAGGAAAGTCCGTGAGACTCTTATCTCCAATAAACCACTAGAAAACTGGAAGTGGCGCTGTGGCTTAAGTGGTAGAGTGCTTGCCTTGAGCTGAAGAGTTCAGGGACAGTGCCCAAGTCCAGAGTTCAAGCCCCACAACCCACCAAAAAAAAAAAAAAATCAGAACATTGTTGGGCACTCGTGGCTCATGCCTATAGTGGTTTGCTACTCAGGAGACTGAGATCTGAGGATCATGGTTCAAAATCAGCCTTGGCAGACAAAGCTGAAAGACTCACCTCTAATAAAAAGCTGAAGTGGAAGTGCAGCTCAAGTGATGGAGCACCAGCCTTGAGTGAAAAAGCCAAGTAACAACAATTTGGTTTGCTTCTCCTCTCAGGTCATTTATTTGTTTTGTTTTGGCAGTAGTGGGGTTTGCACTCAAGACCTTGAGCTTGATAGGCTGGTGTTCTACCACTTGAGCCATGCTTCCAGACTAGAAAACTTTTCTGCCCTAGGTTAGCTTAAAATGTTAATCCTCCAGATCTCAGCTTCCTGAGTAGCTAGGATTACAGATGTAAGCCATCAGCACGCAGCTTCTTTCAGGTCATTTATAACACTTATAAACTAGGTATTCACAAATTTTTATACATTAAAAGTCTAAACTTAATCATATGAAGTGTTTAGAACTAAACCAATTCTTGTGAACTCCAGAATAAAAATAATGAGCAAGGGCTGGGAAGGTGGCTCAGTGGTAGAGCGCTTGCCTTGCACGCATGAGGCCCTGGGTTCGATTCCTCAGCACCACATAAGAAAAAAGCCGGAAGTGGCGCTGTGGCTCAACTGGTAGAGCGCTGGCCTTGAGCTGAAGAGCTGAGGGACAGCACCCAGGTCCAGAGTTCAGGCCCCACTACCGGACCCCCAAAAAAACAAACAAAAAAAATAATGAGCAAAATTTTCAGATTTTTAAATTTAGCAAGTACAAATTTGAGCTGGGTTGCTGGTGGGTCACACATGTAACTATCTTCCATGTCAGGAGTGTGAGATCTGAGGATTGGGATTCAAAGCTGGCCTGGGCAGCAAAGCCAGTGAGACAAAAAAAGCCAAAAGTGAAGGTGGTTCAAGTGGTGGGGTACCAGCCTTGAGCAAAAGCTAAGGAACAGAGACCACACCCTGAGTTCAAGTCTCAATACTGTACACATAAGCATGCACACATGCACAAAATACAAATTTGTAGTCATTTATTCAATCAGGTTATACTAGCTAACAATACCACATATAGTGCCGTACCCTTTTATCTTTCAGGGGGCTAACATGACCCCATACATTCACAATCAAAGAGAGTACATTTCTTCTCCATCTTCTGTTTCTCACCTGGCTTCACGAAAGCTGCATTTAGGTACTTCCTCTTCACCAACTGCTTGATTTAACAGATGCCTGTAAAATCCACTGAGATCTTTCTGCTTCGTTACATCCAGATGTGCTAGAGAGGGGGAAAGCCAAGTGAGAGAGATATAGTATTCAACAAGGCAGAAGATAGTTTTTGGCTACAAGCCAAATCGGGCCTGCTACCTGCTTATTTGTTTCTTTTTCTTTTTTTTAGGTCGGTCGTGGGGCTTGAACTCTGGGCTTGGGCGCTGTCCTTGTGCTCTTTCAGCTCAAGGCGAGTACTCTACTGCTTGAGCCACAGCGCCACTTCCAGTTTTCTAGTGGTTTATTGGAGATAAGAGTCTCACAGACTTTCCTGCCGGGGCTGGCTTTGAACAGCGATCCTCAGATCTCAGCCCCTTGAGTAGCTAGGATTACAGGCGTGAGCCATCAGCGCTTGGCTTACCTGCTTATTTGTTACTATAATGTTCATCAACTTTTGTTCAAACAAGACAGTTGATTAGTTGCATCAGAGATCAGAATACAAAAAGCCAAAAATATTATATCTGGTTAATATTTGCTACCTGATACTTTAGATGAACATAGTAGATACTTAGACAGAATCTTTCTCTTTCCTTTATGTGGTATAGTAGTTTGAACCCAGGACTCCACACTTGTTTGGCAGACCTCAAGCTAGATAGAATTAGATTTTTTTTGTCAGTAGAGGGGCTTGAACTCTGGGCCTGGGCGCTGTCCCTCAGCTCTTTAGCTCAAGACTATCGCTCTACAACTTGAGTCACAATGTCACTTCCAGTTTGCTAGTGGTTTATTGAAGATAAAAGTCTTTCCTGCCCAGGCTGGCTTTGAACCGTGATCCTCAGATCTCAGCCTCCTGAGTAGCTAGGATTAAAGTGTAAGACACTGGCACTCGGCTTGTTTTTTTCATTTGAAATTAAACAGTTGAAGAGCACTTGCCAACTAATTATTTATAAGCACCTATTCCACTTAGATCTAAGAAATGGCCATGAGTAGAAAGACCTAAGATATTCTTTTAATCCTCGCATACTATGTTCTTTTTCAATAATTCTCCCTGAATGGTATAACTCTAGATTTTCTCAACTTTTAAAACAAAGGTTTAAAGTTACATTTATATGGTTTCTAACAAATTTAACTGTTATACTTTGTAAGAAATGGTTTTATGATGGGCACAAGTGGCTCAAACCTTTAATCCTAGCTACATAGGAAACTGAAATCTAAGGGTCGAGGTTCAAAGCCAGCCAATTAACTACTCAAAAAAAATCTGGAAGTTGAGCTGTGGCTCAAGTGGTAGAGTGTTAGTCTTGAGCAAAAGAAGCTCAGGGACAGCCCCAAGTTCAAGCCCCAGGACCAGCAAACACACAAGAAAAATAATTTTACATTTGGAATCATGATCTAAGAAACTGACTTATAGTAATGAGAATAAGTTAAAAAAATCAACTACAGCTGGGCATAGGTGGCTCACGCCTGTAATCCTAGCTACTCAGGAAACTGAAATCTGAGAATCAAGGTTCCAAAAAAAATTGGAAGTTGAGCTGTGGCTCAAGCAGTAGAGTGTTAGTCTTAAGCAAAAGAAGCTCAGGGCAGCCCCGAGTTTAATAAGCCCCAGGACCAGCAAACACACAGGAAAAATAATTTTACATTTGGAATAATGATCTAAGAAAATGACTTATAGTAAAGTTTTAAATAATGAGATTAAGTAAAAAAAAAAAAAAAAACAACTACAGCTGGGTGTAGTGGCTCACACCTGTAATCCTAGCTCCTCAGGAAACTGAGATCTGAGGATCCAGGTTCAAAGCCAGCCAGAAGTCTGTGAGACTCTTATCTCCAATAAACCAGCAGAAAACTGGAAGTGGTGCTGTGGCTCAAGTGGTAGAGCACTAGCCTTGAGCCGAAGAGAGCAGGGGCAGTGCCCAGGCCCAAAGTTTAAGCCCCACGACCAACAAAAGAAAAGAAAAAAAGAGCCAGGTGCTGGTGGCTCATGCCTGTAATCCTAGCTACTAAGGAGGCTGAGACCTGAGGGTAGTGGTTCAAAGCCAGCCTGGACAGCAAAGTCCATGAGACTCTTATCTCCAATAAACCACTAGAAAACCGGAAGTAGCACTGTGGCTCAAGCGGTAGAGTTCTTGCCTTGAGCTGAAGAGTGCAGGGACAGCGCCCAAGCCCAGAGTTCAAGCCCTACAACCGACCAAAAAAAAAAGAAAAGAAAAAAAAATCAACTATAAGTAACAGCTACTGAAGAACTCAACTGCATTTTTAGTTAATCTATCAATAACCTCTTTATATAATATCTATTTTGCTTTCACATATATATATTATGATGACATTATAATCCAAAAGTTCACTGATAAAGCACGTATCCATAGGGCATATTCTGCTAACTTCCTCTGCTTTTCCCTGTTTTATTTTTACCTTCAAGTGCAGCAGCCCTCTTTTCTCTTTCTTCTTCTTCAGCTCTCTCTTGCAGTTTTTTTTTATATGCAGATGTCACAAATGACTCTTTATCATCAAATTCTCCTTTTTCCATTTCTCGTTCTCTCTGTATTTTCTTTTCCATTCTTTTTTCCTGTTCCTTTTTTCTGATCTCAACTGCTTTTAGTAAGTTGTGAATATACTTGGGCTAAGAAAAAAATAATTTAGAAAACCATAAGAAGGGCTGGGAAGGTGGCTCAGTGGTAGACTGCTTGCCTTGCATGCATGAGGCCCTGGGTTTGATTCTTCAGCACCACATTAGCAGAAAAACCCAGAAGTGGCGCTATGGCTCGAGTGGTAGAGCACTAGCCTTGAGCTGAAGAGGTGAGGGACAGTGCCCAGGCCCAGAGTTCAGGCCCCATGACTGGCCAAAAAAGAAAGAAAGAAAGAAAGAAAACTGTAAGAAAATAACCATTATTATAATTTTTATCATGGATTAAAATCAAAATGGCTAGTTCAATTAGGATTATCCTCTTCAAAACTTAATATGTATTTGCAGCAAGATTAATACTGAAATTGTCAGGTATAGTGGCCTACAACTGCTATCTTAGCACTTGGCAGTGACAGGAGGATCAAGAATTCAATGCCAGCCTGGGCTACACAGTAAGATCTTGTCTCAAAAAAAAAAGGGATGGGATGTTTTTTTTTTTTGCCGGTCATGGGGCCTGAACGCTGGGCCTGGGCGCTGTCCCTCAGCTCTTCAGCTCAATGCTAGTGCTCTACCACTTGAGCCACAGGGCCACTTCTGGCTTTTTCTTATGTGGTGCTGAGGAATCGAACCCAGGGTCTCATGCAGCCAAGGCAAGCGCTCTACCACTGAGCCCCTTTCCTAGCGCTAGGGGACTTTACCTTAATGGTACAGCATTTGCCTATCATGCATAAAGCCTCGGGTTTAATCTACAGCAACACACATAAAAACTCAGGAAATAGAGAAAATAAATTGTTTTCAATAAAAATTTAAGGAAATCAGCAATAGGAACTTATAGCATTCTTTTACTTTTTTTTTTTTTTTTTTGCCAGTCGTGGGGCTTGAACTCTGGGCCTTGGTGCTATCCCTCTGCTCTTCAGCTCAAGGCTAGCAGCTCTACCACTTGGGCCCAAGCATCACTTCCTGTTTTCTGGAATAAGAGTCTCACGGACTTTCCTGCACGGTCTGGCTTTGAACCATGATCCTCAGATCTCAGCCTCCTGAGTAGCTAGGATTACAGGCATGAGCCACCTGCACCCGGCAACTTTTTTTAAAAAATCATAAGCTGAATATTTTCTTGCTCTACTCAGTACTATTAATTCAACAAACGAATGAGAAAAGTTCCTCTTAGCTTTTTACATTTAACAGATTTTTTTAAAAACAAATTTTAAGTATGACTATGATAGGCACAGGCAGATGTATAAGTTAGCAGCTAGAAAGAAAAAGAAAGGCCAGGCACTTATGGCTCATGCCTGTAATCTTAGCTACTCAGGAGGCTGAGATCTGAGGACTACAGTTCAAAGGCAGCCTGGGTAGGAAAGTACATGAGACTTCCAGAAAACTGGAAGTAGAGCAGTGGCTCAAAAGTGGTAGAACACTAGCCTTGAGTAAAAAGAGCTCAGATACAGTGCCCAAGCCCCAAATTCAAACCTTACAACTGACAAGGAGAGAGAGGGAGGGAGAAGGGAGAAGGGAAAGTGATGAGGGGGAGAAGAAGGAGAGGGTGATGGGGAGAAAGGATTTTATAAACATCAGGGCAGGAGCAATACAAACTTGGCAGATACATAGAATTTCCAAGGAAGTTTTAAAAATTATTCTTAGAGATTTTAAAGTAACAAAAATTATGAAATTGCTGGATAATTTACCAATTCCAGTTAGGATAACATATTGCAAGGTTTCCTGGGGTCTAGAAATCAAATCTATAATCTTGAACTAGGAACTTTTCTTACTTTACCTAAAGATCATTCTATCTCAAAATAAAATAAAGACACAAAATGCAAGTAGAGATTTAAAAAAAACTTCACATATCCGGTACCAACCTTTCGATCTTTTCCCAAAAGCAATTTGGGATTATTTTCCTCCTTTTTTTTCTGCATTTCATCATATATACTATCATATTCATACACCGTGGAATCCTCTTCAAGAGCCTTCTGTATTTCTAGTTTAGTCTTCAAAACAACAAAAAAGGGTGTTAAAAATAAGCCATCAGCAAAAATCCATTTTTTAAGGAGAAACATTCATAAATTGGAAATATATATAAGAAAAAATCCAATTTTAGAAAAAATATTCATGTAAATTTTGCAACCAAGGTTAAGTTTGAATTCTGGCAACATGCTTACCACTCAACTTTGGGTAAGTTCCTTTAGTCTTTTTGTATCTTATTTTTCTAAAAGAGGTCAATATTTTTTAATCTACCTTCCAAGTTATGGTAATTCAAGGAACTTAAGATACCTAAAATAAGCAGGGAGTAAGTATTCAATCAATATTAATTATGAACACTGTATCTTCATTTGTATATAATTATCCATATCAAAAGGTATGACTCAGAAACACTTAGCCCCATTTTGGAATGCCTGTATTTAATATATTAATCTTCATGTCACCTTGAATAACTTGGATTTCCAAAAGATATTTAGTTTTTAACAACAGGAAATAGTTATATGCTGGTGGTTAATGCCTGTACCTTGCTACTAAGAGATTAACTAAGATTGTTGGGATCAAAGTTCAAGGCCAGCTGGAGCAGAAAAATTCAAGAGACCTCCTTTTCAAGAATGAAGACTAGGAATGTGGCTTAGCGGTAGAATGCTTGCCTAGCATGCACAAAGCTCTGGGTTTGATTCCTCAGCACCACATAAACAGAAAAAGCTGGAAGTGACACTGTGGCTCAAGTGGTAGAGTGCTAAGCCTTGAACAAAAAGAAGCATTAGGGACAGTGCTCAGGCCCTGAGTTCAAGCCCTAAGACTGGAAAAAAAAAAAAAAAAAAAGGGCTGGACACAGTGTTTACTCTGGTTACCAAGAAGCTTTTAACAGATGGGCTTGCCCTAGCAGGAAGTGTTCAAAAGTAATGAGCAAAAATAAAGGCTACAGACATGCTCAGTGGTTTAAAAAAAAAAAAAAGTACATGCTTTGTAATTGTGAGGCCCTGAGTTCAAACCCTAGTACCACTAAAAATAAAAAATTACAATGTTCCAAATATTAAAAATGGTTCCCAACATACTATTAACATGGGGACTTTTGCCTGATGTAATTGGCTTATGACTGTAATCCTAGCTACTCAGGAGACTGTGATCTGAGGGCTGCAGTTCAAAGCCTGCCATAGCAGGAAAGTCCAAGAGTCTCTACCTCCAGGTAATCACAGAAAAAGCAGGAAGTGGCACTGTGGCTCAAGTGATAGAGTACTAGCCTTGAGCAAAAGAAGCTCAAAGATACCACGAGTTCAAAAAGTCCCAGGACAGGTAAAAATAAAATGAAATAAAACAAAATGGGGACACTTTTTAGTGTTTTGTTATTGTTGTTGTTTTGTGGTGTTAGTCATGTAAAATCTTCTGCTTTTATCACGACCTTTTTAATTTTTTCTCCTTTTCAGAGCATCAATATCTCAGAGTATCAGGGCCAGCTCAGCCCCAATGTATGTGTGTGTGCACGCGCACGCGCGTGTGCATGTGTGTGTGCCTGTGTGTGTGTGCGCGCGTGCGCGAGTGTGCATGCACGTTACGCTTTTAACCCAGGGCCCAGGTAATGTCCTTGAGTTTTTGTGCTCAAGGCTAGTGCTCTATCATTTGAACACAGCTCCATTTCTGGCTTTTTGGTGGTTAACTGGAGGTGAAAGTCTAATGGACTTTCTTGCCTGGATTTTCCCCTGGATTGGGGAGCTGCCTTCAAACTGTGATCCTCAGATCTCAGGCTCCTGAGTAGCTACAGTAAGTGTGATACACAGGTGTGTAGCTTTAGCTTTAACTTATTAAATAAGGCCATTTCTGAGGATTTTATCCTCCAGCAATGTCTTTTGTTTGAAACATTCTATACTGTAATGTCTAATTTTTGATCTCTTTGATGTTATCACTTTTTTATTTCTTCACAAATCTTAGTCTCTTCTTCCAGTGTATAACTTTCTGAGATCAAGTCTACATATTTTAGCTTGTTTTTTCCTTTAAAATTTATAGAAGAAATTTATAATCTACACAAATAAAAAAAATGTTTAGGAATGAAGGTAAGGTTCAAGAAGTACAGTGTCTGGATAGCACGTGTGAAGAGCTGAGTTCAAACTCCAGTACCAACAAAACCTTTCCAGAAAATATAATTCATTATATATGTCCTCTGTTTTAAGTCTCAGCACCTAGATACAAAAACTTATACCTGGGCTGGGAAGGTGGCTCAGTGGTAGAGTGCTTGCCTCACATGCATGAGGCCCTGGCTTCGATTCCTCAGCACCACATAAGCAGAAAAAGCTGGAAGTGGTGCTGTGGCTCAAGTGGTAGAAAACTAGCCTTGAGCTGAAGAGCTGAGGGACAGCACCAAGGCCCAGAGTTCAGGCCCCACGACCAACAGAAAACAAACAAACAAAAAACAAAAAAAAACCCCACTTATACCTAAAAATATGAGCCCAAGTACTTACTTAACTAAATGCACTTATCTCACTTGTCCCTCTTACCTGTTTCATGGCCTGCTTCTTAGCAGCTTCCCTCTGAAGGCTTTCACTCACGGAGGTCTACAGAACAGAAAAATGTCACTGTTTAAACAATATACAAATTGCTTTTCAGTTTTCTAGTTGGCAAGTGATCCCTTACTTACAGTTAAAAGTACAGAGAGAATATTATTAACAATAAGTTGAGAGATATTACTAACAATAAAATGTTACCTAACGTGTTTCCATCACAATAGACAAGAGAAAATAAAATGGTAGTACAACAAAAAAATTGAGGAAACATGGGATTTTAGTCCATGTCATTCTACCTCTATGAATTTCAATTGCTTTGTGTATTCATTGAATGTGAGCATGTATTACACTGGGGAAAACTGCACATTATCTCAGCACTTTTCAATATTAAGTGTTCTGAATCTCAGCAACAAAAAGACATTTTGGTTTATGCAGAGTTTATGCAAAAAGCAGTGAGAATTATCTGTAGCTGGGGGGAGGAAGAAGTTGGGGAGGGAAAGGATGTTAAGGGAAAAACAGAGGGGGTAACAACACTTGATACATTACCTTACTCATGTAACTGTACACCTTTGTACAGTATCTTTACAATAAAATATATAGTAAAAAAAGAATTACCTGTAGCTATGATCATTCCTAAAACTATGCACTAAAAAAGCCTTCTAAACCAGACAGGCATTATTCTAGATCCTCAGTATAGTAGAAAGCATCAACAGTCAATGTCCTTGAGAGAGAAATGATATGGAAGACAATTGCCAGGTGTTGGTAGCTCACGCCTGTAATCCTAGCTAATCAGGAGGCTGAGATTTGAAGACTGCAGTTCAAAGCCAGCCTGGGCAGGAAAGTCCCTGTGAGACTTTTATCTCCAATAAACTACTCAGAAAAAGCCAGAAATGCTGCTGTAGCTGACTTGGTAGAGTACTAGTCTTAAGTATAAAGAGGCCCTGAGTTCAAGGCCCAGGACTGACAAAAACACAGATATCAGAAGAAACAATATCATAGCTGGTAAGCATAAGAAAAGGGATAAAGGGTTCTAGGATCCTGAGCAGAGAAAACTACTAAACTTATGAGAAATCAACTCTTCCAAACTATAACACATTCAGAAGGCAAAAGAATTGGGATTTGAAGAGCAATGACTTTATAATCAGCTAGGACTATAAAGACAGTTCACATACAGCATGAACAGTATAGAATAGTTAACACAGAAAGCAGTTATGGAGGTTCCAAATAATTAAACTTACAACTACAATATAAGCTAGTGTACAGAGGATACAATAGTACAGCTAGTATATAAATTAGATAAGAGAAATCAGTATGTTACAATACTATCAGAATATTGTCAAATACATTATACTTATTTCACCCAAATCTCCATAGTGATATGACACTTTCATTAGAATACCAATTTTAAACATGAAAACTGGTAGTAATAACTACTTCTGATATATTTTTATGCCTGCCTTTTTAATTAGTGAAAATGAAATATATCTTGGTTCTCTTGCCATAAATCAGATAAGGCAAGAAAGCACTGAATTAGAGATGAAAGGGCTTCAGGTATATATACCTTATGCATACAATGAAACTAAGATACATAATAATAACTACATATATATATATATATATATATATATATATATATATATATGTCCAAGATTGTCACTCCAGCTCAGTACCTAACTTTCACTAGCTAGCAGTCTACCACCCAAGCCATGCCTCCAATCCCAACTACCAATATATTCTTAGCTCTTAACTTTAAAGAGTTTCTACACTGTATTGTGTGAAGAAGTATAGTACAAAGGTACAATGTATGTTAAGAAGTCTGAGTTTCAAACTTTTTTTTTTGGTGCCAGTACTGGGGCTTGAACTCAGGGCCTGGGCACTATTCCTATGCTTTCATGCTCAAGGCGAGCCCTCTATCATTTGAGCCACAGCTTCACTTCCAGCTTTTTGGTGATTAATTGGAGGTAAGAGTCTCAAGGACTTTCCTGCCAGGGTTGGCTTGGAACTGTGATGCTCAGATCTTAGTCTCCTGAGTAGCTTGGATTACAGATGTGAGCTACTAGCACCCAGCTCAAACTGTTTTATCTTACTAGTTGTATTATTCTAGGTAGTGAATTTTCCTGTTTCGGTATCCTTACCTATTTAATAGTACTGGGCTGTTTTGAGGACTAAATGAGATAGCATGCAAAAAGCACTCAACATTTCAAAGAAGTGATCAATTAGGCTTAGCTAATATTTGGCTGTTCATGTTTAAAAACACGCAGTTTAAAAATACTTATATGCTTATTTAGTCGGACACTGGTGGTTCATGCCTGTAATCCTAGCTACTTAGGAGGCTAAGATCTGAGGATCGTTGTTCAAAGCCATCCCAGGCAGGAGAGTTGGTAAGCTTCTTATCTCCAATAAACCACAGAAAACCAGTAGTGGTGTGGCTCAAGTGGTAGAGCACTAGCCTTGAGCTGAAGAGCTCAGGGACAGAGCACAGGCTGAGTTTAAGCCCCATGACTGACAAAAAAAAAAAGCATATATTTAAACAATTGAAAATTAATTTATAATCTCAGCAACGAGGAGGCTAAAATAGAATAGTTTAGTTCAGAGGTCTGCCTAGGTTTCAAAATGAGACTCTGTTTCAAAAACCTTAAAGAGGTATGGAAAAACAGAAGCTATTAGCTTTTTTTTCTTGGAGCATTATTGTTAAACCAAACTGTTTACCAGAAAAACAGATAAATCATGTTCTAACTTATAGAATATTTATCAGTTTGCTCAATAAAAGGTATGATTCTAATTGCATCTATTAAAATAGAAATGTGTGTTTAATATTTAAAAGTCTATCATGTCTTCTTTCATGTTAGATTCTTAGCTGGATGTGATGGTATATGCCTCTAATACTAACATTGGGATGGGAGGCAGAAGGGGCTTAAGTTTCAGGCTAGCTGGGGATGAAACATGAGATCCTGCTTCCAAAAAGACAAAACAACAAAAAATGGTATAATTTTATATTCAATACATCAAAGAAAAGAAAATGGAGGTTATATACATCAAAATTCCACTAGTCATGGAAGCTTCAATGTAACTAAACATGGGTTTCCTAAAAATAACAGGGGCTTTATTAGTAGCTAGTCATAAATGAAAATATGTTGCCTCTGATGAATGAGTACTTAGAACTCTTCTCTGAGGGACCTGTCTAAATTACTATAACTGGATGGTAGAACTCATAATAGGATAACTCAACAGATACTACTTTTTATAATTACCATGGGTTTCAGCAGTGATACTCACTAAACACTATGATGGAAATGAACTATAGGAAGAAGGGAAGTAGGGAGAGGAAAAACTGGGAGAAAATAAGGGGGTGACACTGATCAAAAAGAAATGTACTCTCAGCTGGGCACAGGTGGCTCACGCCTGTAATCCTAGCTACTCAGGAGGCTGAGATCTGAGGATGACGGTTCAAAGCCAGCCCAGGCAGGAAGGTCCATGAGACTCTTATCTCCAATAAAGCACTAGAAAACCGGAAGTGGTGCTGTGGCTCAAGCGGTAGAGGTTCACCTTGAGCTGAAGAGCACAAGGACAGCGCCCAAGCTCAGAGTTCAAGCCCCATGCCGACAAAAAAAAAAAAGAAAAAGAAATGCACTCTCCTGACTTGTGTAACTATAACCATTCTGTACATCAACTTTACAGTAATCTTTTTTTAATTACTGGGGAATGTTCATTAAAGTTGTGGCATTTTTCTGTTTGGTTGGTTAGTTGGATGGTTTTGGTTTTTGAGAACAAGTCACACCATGTAGCTGTCCTAAGCTGGTCTTAAGCCCAAGATCTTCCTGCCTCAAGTCTCACAAATGCTAGGATTACAAGTATCCACTACCATGCTTTGTTAATAGCATTTTTTAAAACTTTATTTGAAATAATTACAAATGCCAAGAAAGGATGCATAAGGAGGTATTGTATGCACTTTGCCCAATCTTCCCCAATGATAACAATGTGCATAAAAAGAAAATATCAACATAAGGAAACTGATACTGGTTCAAAGGTTACTTGGATTGTTACCAGCTATACACCCTCACATGTGAATCATGTGTGTATGTGTGCATGTGTGTGTTAGAGAGAGACTGAGAGAGAAAATAGTTATTTTTTTGCTATGTAGACCATGCTGGCATTGAATTGTGGAACCATGGCACTCAATATATTTAATTCTATCACTATCATATGATTCCTCTGTGCTACCCCCCCTTTTTGGGGGGGGGGCAGTTGTGGGGCTTGAACTCTGGGCCTGGGCGCTGTCCCTCAGCTCTTCAGCTCAAGGCTAGCGCTCTACCACTTGAGCCGCAGCACCACTTCCAGTTTTTTTCTTTTTGCTTATGTGGTGCTGAGGAATCAAACCCAGGGCCTCATGCATGCAAGGCAAGTGCTCTACCACTGAGCCACCTTCCTACCCTGTACATAGCCTTTGAGATTAGATTTTTCATTCACTCAAAATTATTTTCAAGGAATATATTTTGTTTATTGCCACAAAGTACCCTTAGTCTAAGAACCTAAAGAAAAATATTTTTAAAAAAGACAAAGGTGACATATTTTGGAAAAAAAAAGACACATAACTGACTAAAACCTAAGGCTGAACGTCACTAAACAATGTAACAGCCAGGCGCCGGTGGCTCACGCCTGTAATCCTAGCTACTCAGGAGGCTGAGATCTGAGGCTCTCGTTCAAAGCCAGCCCGGGCAGGAGAGACCATGAGACTCCTATCTCCAATAAACCACCAGAAAACCGGAAGTGGCGCTGTAGCTCAAGTGGTAGAGAGCTTGCCTTGAGCTGAAGAGCTGACGGACAGCGCCCAAGCCCAGAGTTCAAGCCCCACGACGACCAAAAAAAGAAAAAAAAAAACAATGTAACAAGGTCATTAGTTGATTAATTGCAATTTAGCACATAATTATTCTGTCTAAAGACAAGTTCACAGTAAAACTTAATAGACCATTCATGAATGGAATAGTCTAGCAAAATCTTAACAATAAATATGGAAATTTAAATTACTCAAGTAGTAAAGCATTAGCTTAGCA